AAGAAATATCAGAAAGAAGCTGCATCCAGGCTTTTTTTAAAAATTGAAAATGGGCGTGGCGTCGCCCACTTATGGACCWAAAACCATATCTCAGGAAGTACTCGACCGACTTCAATGAAATTCTTCATATAATATTTTCTTAACATCCTGATGACATGCACGAAATATGGGTGAAATCGGTTCACAACCACGCCTGAAATCATGCGAGAGTATAAAATGTTCGGTGACACCCGAACTTAGCCCTTCCTTACTTGTTATAACCGTTTKCCATGGAATTTCATGTATAAATTTTTTTCTATGAAAAATTTAAATGTTTTTAGTGTTTTATACATATTTATTTATTATTTACTAGTACGGATACCTCGCATTCCATGCGGCAGAGTGTGGGCGCGTAATTTTCTGCGAAACATTTCCATTTATAAAATTGTGAAAAAGTCTAACGTCAATAAAAAGTTGTATGGAAAATAGACAACGCAAAATGAAAACATCMAAACCGGAAGTATTTTATTAGCAACTACATACCGTTAACGCGTCACTGGGAAGCAATTTAATGGACGAAAAACAGAAGCAAAAATACCGGCGCAGCRGTAAGAAGTTGAAACTAAAGTCAATGGCAAAAATAAAAACAAAAGCAGAAAAACAGAAAAACAGAGCAGCGAAGAGCACATGTATAGTGAGGACTCTGGGAGAATGGAAGATGTTAAATACTGGAAAATTTACAAATTGAACTTAAACAAAACCGCCGGTGCTAATTTATGTGAAATTGCACGAAGACACCAGTTCGCAATGCAATGSTCACGAGCACGCAATCGGCTCATTCAGCATAACGAGCGTGAAAGCGCACAAGCACACGCACCCGCTGGGGCACGCAGTGAAAAATAGGCGAAATTACCGGAAAAATGTGCGTGGTATTCGACCAGTGTTAGTATATAGTACGTCATTGGCATCCCGCAAATGATTGGAATTGTTGAAAGGCTTTGCTTTGGCTGCCCACACATGGGTGTGCATAAAAAACAGCGTGGATAAACGCCTGGGACCACCGTACTCTTTTACCTATCGCTTGGCATGGCTGTATCATCCATCAATGAAGTGGCTAGGCCAACAAATGTTCCAACCGAAACAATAAAGATCGATCGTTTTAGATACACAGCACGTTGTGCCTTTACATTGGTCGCCAACCCCCACACCCCACACACAGAAAATGAACTGTAAAATAGACCATCAGTCAATTAGTCTCGTAAGCATCACAAACATATTCGCATCTAACAGTAGGTGTACTCGCGAAGCGTAAATTTAGAATGCGACACATACAGGCCCAACGCGCGCAAGAGAGCAATGAGYTTAACCGCAAACCGCTACAATGGCAGTTGCCACAATTGTGTCTGCACTTAAATAACGATAGCATTACTGGCAACAATAACAGCAATAACAACAAAGGACGTAAGTAATATCACACGCTTGCAGCATTAAACCGTAATAGCAGCCTTTCAGGCGTGTTCGCATATTTGATTTAGAGCGAAGGCATTACAACAATACCGTATATAAATCTATGACCACCAGTCAGCCAGATTGTCAATCAGTCAGCTGTATAAAGCCTGCAAATACAGTTACACACCCATACATTAACGGTAGTTGCACAGGCGTTTTATTGGTGTGGGAAATTTCTATTTTTATATGCTCTTGTTGCCAGATACCCCTTATTAACCGTAAATATTTAACGACTGCACACACTGTAGTGGACTCTTTGCAGATATTGAGTTAAATGACGCTCGGAGATTTCATTTGATGCACCGTTCGGCCCAACAACGGTAAATGGTAATGGTTTATAGGAGAACAAAAAATAATCAATTGAATTATGCGCTGGTGGCGTTAATTGAAAATGCCCGTGGTAGATTGGCAGCAACGCTAAACGGAATCAACTAACCGCACTCAAATGAAGCGAGTAGCAAACGAAACGTTGTGATGCCGATATGGTGAAGGTAAATAGCATTCATAATATATACTAAACAACTGTGGAAACTATTGGAAAAGTGTTCTTTCCTTAAGGCAATCTACTATTAATACTATATCGAAAAAAATCGATCTTTTGCCGCCAGGTGCTACTTTGGACTRAGTAGGTAATTTAAAAAGAAAATCCTCTCTCGACGAACAAAGACCAAACTATRCAAGTGCGTCATCATTCCCGGGCTGTTATATGAGGTGGAGGCATGACAATGACAACACCTGCCGAATCGGAGTTAGGAGTGCTCGAGAAAGGTTTTGCATATTGGMAGCAGCGAAAACCGCAGTACGAGATATACGGCGACATTGACGTACATAGTTCAGCGTATCGGTGGCTATATTGGTATTCCAGCATACCAGTTTTCGATACAATACCAGCACATGGAAGTAGAGAAAAAATACTCCTTTGGAGCGATAAGGTGGAGAAGGACCTGGCTGTACTTGGTATATCCAACCTTCGCCAAATAACGAAGAAAAGAAACAACAGCCGGGCTGTTGCTAACTCGTCTATAACAGCGTGTATCTACGTCAATATTACCAGTTTCAAAACATGAAAAAAAGACTCGAAAGTACGTTGCTTAGTTAGAGAGTGGTTACCACTGAAAAAACGCCAGCTCAGGTGACTTGACATATTAGCGGAACTCTATTTATATGTATATCATCTGATCAAATTTGACCCGGACAGGTCCATTTAAACTGCGCGCGAGAACTAAGTCGAACTTTTGTCCCTCTAGATTGGTAAAAACCCATTTTATCTTCGCGCAAAGTTTGATCTTCATATTTCAATCGGTGTGTGCTTGGCATCTGCTTTTACGTGAAGCTAAAAGTTAGATAGATAGATAGATAGATAACTGAGGAATGCACTGCGACCATAGGTCTATTGTGCCGTCTCCTAACTCACAGGGACTCGCTTAGCCCCAGCATATTGACGAAGTTCAGTATTTTGCTGGGTGCTAGCGAAGCGATGTGATCCCTACCCAGAAACATGGCTCCAAGGGCCTTCGATCTGCGCCTACAGACTGCAATGCAGTCGATTAGCAGGTGCTCCGGGGTTTCAGGGGCCCTGTCGCAAAACCGACAGTTGGCGCAAGATGATTGGCCATGTTGGTTAAGTGCCTTTTCAGCTTGCAGGGGCCGGTATAGAATGCAACCAGGATCTTGAGTTGGTTTCTTGGGAGGTTGATTAACGATTTAAATCTTTTTTGGTTATTACTAGCAGCTTGGCATGACGCATACCGTGCGCTCGCTGCCAATACCTTTCCCTGCACTCTACCTGTCTCTTATACACATCTAGATGTGTATAAGAGACAGGACGCATACCGTGCGCTCGCTGCCAATACCTTTCCCTGCACTCTCTTTCTTCCTTGCGGAGCAGCTTCTTCACAGTGTGGGGACCCACCGCAATGAATGGTTCGGGCCCAACCATACTGGTGGAGGCTGCGGAGCGGGCTAGCTCGTCAGCCAGTTCGTTGCCGGCTATGCCCCTGTGGCCGGRCACCCAGATTAAGTAAAAAGCTAAAAGTTTGTCAGACGACTTTTATCAAGCACAAAAACATTAAACAACGAGTTGACTTAAAATTTTGTGTTTCCGAAATCGTTCAAAATGTTGGAAAAGTGTTTTGTGGAATCTACTTTATGACAAACAGAAGTATATGGATGGCACAAAACCTTCAGTAGAGGTTGTGAAGTTATCAAAAACATGGTTCACGATCACCGCGTTGAAGTCGTAAAAGRGATTATTGACAAAGTAGCTGGGACATCTAAATTCAATAATTGCTTCTTTACACGTCACGAGACCTGAGTTTATGAATGCGACGGTGAAACTAGTCAACGTATGAAATTTTTGGTTAAGTATTGGCATGCTGCTACTGGCTCAATAAGATAAGCTCAATATAATAAGATCCTTTATTTTGAAGGCGAAATAAAATAAGTCAAAATGTTTTTTTTGACGGACGGGTCAGTTTTGATCAGATCATATAACTAGCGGGAAAACTGGTTTATCTTGATTTTAGAAACAACCATACGTCCTAAGCAAAAAAGTTAAAAGGCGAAGTATTTTTATTTTGAAACCTTTTTCGAATAACCCCCAAATTTACGTGAAATATTCAAATAACCTTGTTTTTGATTTTCTATTTTTATACCCTGAAAGGGTATATTAAGTTTGGCACGAAGTTTGTAACACCCGGAAGGAAGCGTGGAAGAGCCTTTAAAGAAAATATATAAATGATCAGTATGTTGAGCTCAGTCGATTTAGCCATGTCCGTCTGGCTGCCCGTCTGTATATATACAAACTAGTCCCTCATTTTTTAAGATATCGTTTTAAAATTTTGCAAACATCATTTTCTCTTCAAGAAGCTGCCGATAACATATAGCTGCCATACAAACTGAACGATCGGAATCAAGTTCTTGAATTGAAAACTTTCACATTTGACAATGTATCTTCACAAAAATTCTCCCAGGTTACTTTCTAAGGCAAAATGTAATCTCCGAAAAAGTTGTTCAGATCGGATTACTATAGCATTTAGCTTCTATACAAACTGAACCCATTTACTAAAAGAAATGCACATGTTAAGGGTATATTATCTTCGGTGCAGCCGAAGTTAACGTTTTTTCTTGTTTTTGTGATATTTCCTTCCTTATTCAATAAGTTTCATTCAACTAATTTTTTTTTTATTCAAAAATTTTCGGCCCTGGTCTATACGTGTCTCATTTGCATACAGTCCGAGCTGAGCATATCAAACTGCAACAGCCAGAGCATTGAGTCACTGCATTAACATATTTGCGGTTGGCATTCTGTCGCACGAGTCGTCGTCAACGGCGCACGGTCAATTGCAAATGGGTCGCGGTAATTGAGCGAATGACTTAATGAATGACGTTAAATGACACTCAAATGGGCAAATAACAACTTTGTCGATCGACCAGCTGGCTGGCTGACTGACGGCACTCACCTGGGGCAATATGCGTTGCACGTACGCCCAAAGAAAATACGACCTTTACGGGCTATGCCTCTGGTCGAAAAGGCGCATTATCTTTACTTGTTTGTATGTTTGTGTGCGCTTCGTGTATAAAATAACGCACCCGATGTATTCTGTTGTTGTTGTTGTTGTTGTCGATATAAATTATTATTTGCGATTGCAACCGCTGTGCGGCTTAATTTGGTGTTATTGTAGTTGTTTATATATGCTTTTTTCGAGAATGTTGATGTGTTAACGTTGTTTCGTTGAAGGCATTGCACTGTTGTCACAAATGCGGAATTCGATAATAACTTTGCTGCTTCTGCCTCTGCTTCTACTTCTTCTTCTTCTTTTCACACTTTCATTTCATGCACTTGTCGCTGGAATTGAATTGAATTCGATTTTGGTTTCATTTTGGTTTCACTGCATTTTTTCACTTCTGTATTTACTTGCCACTTTTTATTTCATTGGACATATATATACACTCATACATACATATTATCGCATTTGTTGGTAGTCGTTTTTTGGTTTTGCTGCTGTTTCGAGATTAGAGGTTAAATATAATCGCTTTTCTTATACATTTTATACAAAAGACGGCGAATATCAAATACCACAGGGATATGTATACTATACAATTGATAAATGTAAGTACATATGTAAATACATATATTAGGGTGAAAAAAAAAGAATTTTTTTCATATATAGATTCTTAAATACATCTAAGGCGGCTGTGCTGGCTAGGTCATGTCGTCCGTATGAATGCAAACACTCCAACTCTGAAAGGAAGATTTCCACTCCGTTGGAGAGATCAGGTGGAAAAGGACCTAGCATATTGCTCAAAGAAGAAACTATTGATATGATAAATAATATTTTACCTTTGCTAAGAACCTTAAATAATAAGCTATCTAACTGTCACAGCAAAGGTAAGGCTGAGCTCAGACTCCCACCGGGATCAGAACTGGCGGATAATGGACAGCTTATGCTAAGTAGGTTATCTGCGAATAATAATACGCCACTCCCTCCCAAGAGCGGCAAAGAGACGAAAAGATGCCACCTTTAAATAACCGCCCATAATCTCCATCACTATAACCTACCCACTAGAGGAAGACAACAAACCGACGAGGGAACAATACAGCGATCAGCACCAAATATGCACTGATGTCGCTGAAAACCCTAAACGCTTGCTCACATCACAATCGAGCCAGTAATATTGTGATTATGGTGTCCTGGAAACCCTGAGCGGATTARTATGACAAATGGGTGGTGAARAMAGTATTCTAATACCTCAGTAGGTAAGAGTGACATCTCACCAAAATGGCTGGCAAGCTAACACTGTTCTCACCTTCGTCTCRTTAAAACCCTGGCAGGTCTTCAAGTGTATTCAAGTTAAGGTTCAGTTGAGATGAGCTCCTGATTCTTGAATTATTGGGTACAACATTTTACAAACGAAGAGGCTTCCCACGGTGGGTGCCGTGTTTTCTATACATTATCGAATCCACTGCCTATTTCATTTATCCCAGRATCAAAACGTGTTTGACTGGAAAAAGATTTTTCGAGAATAAGGAGATTGAGATGGAAATAAAGCCATATTTTGAAGGCTTCGAAGCTTTACAATATCGAATCGATCTCAGAATGTTGTAGCACCGATACAACAAATACATTGCTCTAGAGAGATTTCGTCGATATTTTCCTGCAAAATCAAAACTATCATTCATTGTTACGCCAAAGAGCCTTCAGGCTACGTAGCTTATCTTTTTTGAAAAATTTTCCACTATATCTACCACCTTAGTATGCAACTTTTGAAACCAAACAAGTATAGTATCAAATACTAAAATATTATGCAATTCTTCTTCTTCTTCTTGATTGGCGTAGACACCGCTTACGCGATTATAGCCGAGTTAACAACAGCGCGCCAGTCGTTTCTTCTTTTCGCTACGTGTCGCCAATTAGATATTCCAAGTGAAGCCAGGTCCTTCTCCACTTGGTCCTTCCAACGGAGTGGAGGTCTTCCTCTTCCTCTGCTTCCCCCGGCGGGTACTGCGTCGAATACTTTCAGAGCTGGAGCGTTTTCGTACATCCGGACAACATGACCTAGCCAGAGCAGCCGCTGTCTTTTAATYCGCTGAACTATGTCAATGTCGTCGTGCAATTAATTCAATCAATTGGAGGGCCTTTTCACCCAAACGATCAAATATCACTCATACGCAGTGTAGGAAGCACTAAACATCGATTTTACAACAGTACTTTATTTGCTACCCAAAAATTAATGTTCCAAATGAAATGAAAAAAAAAAATGTATTACAGTATATTTTTACGCCATGCGAAAATCATTCAAAAAAGAAGCAAACTCTCGTGCGCTCATTGAGAAATTTTCAACGAACTCCAGAAAAAAGAATCAAACACAAAAATCTGCATATGTATTAGTGTACATTTAGCTAAACCTCTCAATGTACACCCATAAAAATCACACGCACAAACACATACACAGTGGGATGCTTTGCGCCCACACTCTCAAATTGATGGCTTTCATCGATAAAGGATATTTGCAAAAACATGGTAGTCTTAAATAAAGGCAAGGAAAAGCGAGGAAAAAACAATTAGGAACAAAATAACAATGAAATCGTATGTGTAGATGAGTGTGTGTATGTGTTTGTGCACTTAAGGGCCTGTGTGAAAGCAGCGAAAGTGTTTGAAAAGCAAATYAAAAAGCAGCAGGTGGGGTAAACTTTTCCTGGAAGTAGGCAATACCTAACGCCAAGAGGTTAGCAGAGGGTAGAATGGCAGATTTTTTCCTGAACAGCCGTAAAAGAGCTTTGTCACACTTCGCCGTAGATGTTCGTATTCAYATCTATATATCTATTGTGTGATACAAAAAACATGCGAATGTGTATTTAAAAATTCTGCTTACATACAAATATATATATATATTTATGTAGACTGGCGCCATAAGCCACAAGATGATGATGGAGGAGGGTAGAAAATTTTTTGGGTTGGAATTTTGCAGTGTTTAGTCGCAGTCAGCATCAGCTGCTTTCGCTATATACTATATGTTTACTGCAGACTTCATAAATGCGCCTAAATGCACGGTAAATTCGAAAATTATATAATAAATAATTTATCCGTTATTATTTATTTTTTTCTATTATTTTTTTTAATTTTTTCTCCAATGCAAATTTTTTTTTTAGTATGCGCTCAAACAGCATTTTTTCAAGCCGAGCTGAGCTTGTGTGTGTGTGTGCGCCGGAGAGAAAGTATGTATAATAGCTTCAGCGTAATGAAGTTTGAAAAGAGCGCACACGCTAGTGAAAGCTTTCAGTTTGAAGGAAGTGAATCTATGGGGAGCGTACGACCGCAAACATAGCCACATTTTTGTGTGCTAAATTGGCAAGAACAACAGCAACTGACTTTAAGGCGAGGGATTCGAAGTTTTTCAAAAATTTAGGAAGCGATAACGGTGTTTCCAACTTATTTATAAATAAAATTTGCACTCTTAAGTATACACAGCGGCCTCTCAATCAGGGTTGAGAATTTTCTGATTCAAAATTTTTGAATTGAAAATTTAATTTTTATTTTTTATTAGCGAAGTTGCGATTAAAAAATTAGATTTTGAATTCAACGTTTTGGGTTAAAAACTGAAAATTTTATTATTCAATTTGAATGAAGGACGCAAACACGAAAAAATATTACTTTTAAAAAATTTTCTTCTTTTAATTGTGCCTAAAATTTTTCATTTTTACTTTTTAATCTGGTATRTAGGTATAAAAGATAGCACTGATCAGATATACGACTGCAACGACATCTATTAACAAAATATGAAAAGACTTTTTCGATCACCCCATATGTAATTCAAATGTTAAAGGAATTATTTTTTAATACTTTATTTGCAACTCTGCTATCAAGCATTAATTTTTTTTTTTTTTTTTTTTTTTTTTTTTTTTTTTTTTTTTTTTTTTTTTTTTTTGGAAAAAAAACAGTTATAATTTTTAAGCAGGTATTAAAATTGCTTATTATTAAAAAAAACAGTTATAATTTTTAAGCAGGTATTAAAATTGCTTATTATTTTTTATCATTATTTACATTTAAAGCCTTACATTTAGCAAGTCTTTTTTTTTTTTAGCGTCTTGCAACCCTTACAAGACTTCAGACACTTTCATTGTGAAAAAATTTGGAAAATAACTCAATTTTGAATGTCGTAACAACTTTTATTATTTTTTAGTTTAACCTAATATTATTACTGTTGCTATTATTACTATTGTTATTATTATTGTTGTTACTATTATTATTTTTATTACAATTATTACTA